AAAAAAAAAAAAAAAAAAACCAAGTGAAAAAACCTCGATCAATTTGATAGTATTAAAAACGAAAAAAAAAATGATTAGTTAAGGATGTTCGCGGTCGGTTCGGACGGTTTTTTTTTATAAAAACTATCAACTAAATTCAAAATAATTTTTTTGGGTAGTTTGGGCAGTTTGACATTTTTAATAAAAATCAAATTAAACCAAATCACTCATAAATGGTTTAGATGGTTTAAACTTAAGACTAAAAAAAATTCTCAATAATTCATAAAAATTATAAAATGTTAATCAATAAAAATAAAAAGAAGATTCAAGTCACCATTTAAAGTTTTAATATCAACCAACAAAAATATGATATGGTGTATTTTATAAGTGTAGAACCTTTATTATGACCAATAAAAACTAAAATAAGCATAAAAATATTTTAAAAATAAAAATTATATATGTATACTTTTGGGTGGATTATTGGACGGTTTAAGCAATTTAAGGAGTTCAAACCACAAATCAAACCACCCAAAAAAAATTAGATTAAAAAACCGACCAAATTACCTAATAATCCAAAAATAATTAACGATTTGGTTCGGTTTGATTTGGATTGGACGATTTTCGTGGTTTGGCGGTTTTTTTGAACACTCCTATTCTCAATTTAACAGCGCTTGATGGGACAAATATGACATTTAAATTTTACAATAAACAATAAAAATATTACAATTATAAATTTATAAAATCTTATGAAAACATTGCTACAAGTTTCAAATTTAAAATAGCAATATTTTATAATTTAAAAATATGATATGTGGGGTATGTCGAGAGGAAAAAAATAACCTCTATCATTAGGTTTCCTTTTATAACAAAATTAAATTATATAGTTAAGTCTATTGCCCTTTTTTGTTTTTTTATTTAATGTTTTTTTAATAAGAAATTTTAATTTGAGAGGGTGTGGAGAGTAAAAAAAAGTGTGTGTTTACTTATTCACAGTCACTATTAATTTGAAAGAGAATAATATTATAAAAATCTCAATAGATTTTTTTTTTTTAGAATAGAATATGTTATTTATTAATAAGAATAAGCGTATGATACAATAACAGATTCTATAAATATTGGAGTTTCCTCCAACTAAATTAGCTCATTATCTATGTTAAGAGCATAAGCAGTCAAAATGTGGGCAGTTCTATTAGCTTCTTTGTACACATGACATAACTTAACTCCTAGAAAATAAGATAATTAACTTAATACATATGACAATAATAAACCAAACTCATTACAAAAGGAAGAGTGTCTCATAACTTGAATGATTGTTAGTGCATCAGATTTCACGAACTGAAGATTCAAACCAATGTCTAAAGCTCAAAGGAGACTCATGGAAATAGCTTTAACTTCAGCTTCGTGAATAGAGAAAACGCCATTAAGTTTCTTCACAAGCGATGCTCATTCATTAATCTATAGAAATAGTTAGTGTACTATTTTTTTAATTTTTTCAATTTTGTTGAGAAACAGGAAATTTATGATTTGGCGCTTGAACAATGACGAGGTGAGAAAATTTATGGCAATCAGAAAAATTTGAATAGAAATTTAAATTTTGTGAGAAAAAACACTATAATAAAAAGATTTAAATAGTAATTTAAATTTATAAAATAAAACGGGAGCTTAATCAGTACTGTACTAGTGTTACATCGTGAAAAACAAAGAGACAATTTTATATTGAATATTGCAAAAGTATTTCTTATGGTTTATTTATTTATTAAAAGTGGATTTTTACCCTTCGTTTGTGGAAAATATATATATAAAAAATCTCTTTGTTTTGTGAATCACCTAAAATCCTATCCTACTGTAAAAAAACAAACTTAGAACGAAAATCTCTTAAAATTCTCTTTGTTAGAGAACGAAAAGTCACAAATCCCCTTGAGACTTGCAAAAATATATATAAAAAGAGAAGGGACTTTTTTCGAGAGGATCTCTCTATTAATGAGACCAACATTAACTATTAAATTGATTAAAATCTAATGAGATTAAAAAGTAAATACTGAACAAATAATGTTTTATACAAATTTAACTACTAAAAGTAGAGAATTAGTAATAGTTTATTTTTTCTAATTCTACTATAGAAACTCTTAAAAGAGAGAGTTGGTTTGAAAAAAAAAAAAAAAAAGTGTCCATTAGACTATTAGGGGTCGTGGGAGGGGTCTCGAAATGACCCTTATGGTGGGCAAATAGAGGTGGTTCTCGCGATGGTGGCAAGGGAGCAAGCCCCCACACAACGGGCTAGGCGGTGACTTACGAAAATGGGTTGTGGTGTTGCCATGGGTGTGGAGGCGATTCGCGACAAAATGAAAATAGAAAATTTGAGTTGCTTTTTTCGGGAGGATCTCTCTATTAATGAGACCAGTATTAACTATTAAATTGATTAAAATCTAATGAGATTAAAAAGTAAATACTGAACAAATAATGTTTTATACAAATTTAACTACTAAAAGTAGAGAATTAGTAATAGTTTATTTTTTCTAATTCTACTATAGAAACTCTTAAAAGAGAGAGTTGGTTTGAAAAAAAAAAAAAAAAACGTCCATTAGACTATTAGGGGTCGTGGGAGGGGTCTCGAAATGACCCTTATGGTGGGCAAATAGAGGTGGTTCTCGCGATGGTGGCAAGGGAGCAAGCCCCCACACAACGGGCTAGGCGGTGACTTACGAAAATGGGTTGTGGTGTTGCCATGGGTGTGGAGGCGATTCGCGACAAAATGAAAATAGAAAATTTGAGTTTTGCAACAAAAAAAAAAAAATCCCCGTATTCAGATTTATGTCATGAAAATTGATCTTTAGATTTATACTATACAAATAAACTACTCAAATATCAACAAAATGTGCCTAGAATCCAAACCACAAAAAAATTGTGCATAAATCGAAATGCATATAGAAGAGTGTTGGCATTCGACCTAATAATTTTCTCAGTGGGAAAACTTTATATTATAAATATTAGGAAAAAAATCAAAAATACCACTCAAGATAGTTAAAAAAATATTATTTATGCAACTCTAATAAAAAATTAAAAAAATTTCATTTAATTAATAAAGAAAATAAAAGGTCATGATGACACCTGATTATTTAGAATGACATAAATAATACACCTACTTTTCTCAAAAAAAAAAAAAATCTGCAAAAAAAAAAAAATGTTATTTAACTCTTTCTCCCTCACTAGACTTCAAAAGTGATTTAGAGCCTAATTTAAACGCATACAAATCACCTGTTCAATTTCGATGTCTAATTAATCAGATTTTACCACATTATTTATAAAAACAAAATATATTTCTAATTAATTTTTTCTTAATTAAATAACATATCATAATTTAATTAGTTAGACACCAATTAAGATATCAAACATATTACTGTTGCAAAATAGGCCATATATGAGCTTTTTGCTTAGGCCCAACGAAATAGCTTCTCATCGGCCCTGTTCATTTCGCTGATTCGAGTTTAGAATTCGAGTTTTGCTACAGTAAAAAGCTCTCAGAAATAGTCACATCTAACTTTTTTGCTACAGTAAAAAGCTCTCTCACAACATCACATCTCAACTCGAATTAGCAAACCGAACGGGCCCATCATCTTTATAAGTTATATTTCTATACTTGTCGGGTTCGTTTGATATGAAGGTTTAAATTAGGGTGATTCTAGTTTTGATTTTAAAATTAGAACTATGATTCATAATTTTGGATTTAAATCATGATTCTGAAACCATAATCAGAATCATGAGTT